CCTCTGCTCCCGCCCCGCATCCCTGCGGCCTCCCGGGGTGAGTCAGGAACTCCTTTGAGCTCCTGCCGTTCCTTTCGAAGGGTAATCCAGAAACGGTCCTCGGTAAAAGGTCTAAAGAGCCATCTTTTATTACTCAGGGCTGGGTTTTACGATCCTGGCGTTGGTCTTTTCCAACGTTTTTGATTCTGTGATCAAGGGGAGAGGCACAGTCGTTTTGTTTGACCCATTAAACCAAGGGCCGCTTTTTCCTTTAGTCCTCTGCCTCTGCTTGTCCCTGGGTTTTTTTCCTCTGAAAAACAGAGGATTTTGAGGTTAATGTGCTAAGAATGAGACGTGCGCGGTTGGGTTGTTGTGGTGTCTCGTTTCCAAGGTGTGAATGTGCACGTTTGCAAACAAAGATGCTGCTGGGAGCCTGCTGCCTCTTCTGCACAGCTGCAGCTACATAAAAACCGTATGAAATACAGAGAAAAAAAATCACTCTTTAAAAAACATCATTAATTAAAGTGCTTTGCTACAGGGACAAAGAAAAGCACAGTGATTTCCACCCTCATCCCTCTGGGTGTGCATGTTTACTTATGTTTATATTGCTCACTTTTTGTATAAAAGGTCATTTTCGTCTGGTGAAAAAGCTTTGGAGTGAGCTGCGTGTTTTGATTGCACAATCAAGTCCCCGTGCAAGAGCCAGATCTCCCCATTGTTCACCTGGTTTTAAGACATTTATTATCTTTAGTGCAAGGGATGACCTGCCTAGGGGCAGTCAGAAATGGCTTCTAACTTTGGGGTATTTTGGAAGCTGATGCTTTTCTAGGGGAAAACTGGTAAGATGAGTGCGTGCAGACCTAGCTTTTATCCCTTTATGGGGTAAGAAGCATCGAGGTTAACTCTGATTCCTCTCCCTGTGCTGTGGGCAGGGTGAAGATGAGTGCTGAAGAGATTCGGGTGTATGCAGTAGAACTTGGAAAAAATTTCTGCCTCTATTTTGAAGGTAATTAGAGCATTTAATGATCTTTTCTGATTGAATACTGATTTAACACAATTCCTTTGTCAGTCTGATTTCACCTCATTTCCCACATAAGCTTCAGTTTTAAGTGTTGCTAGCCAAGTGGCTGAGTCAGGGCAATACTTGTTTACAAAAAGCTCTGGGAAAGCGTTGGAATACTGGGGCGTGGACCTGGAGTGAATGAGTGAGTGAGTAATTCCCGATCTTGAGGAAAAAAGTCAGTTGGGAAACAGTTTCTTCTTTAAAAGCAATTTGCAATGAGTTCTTCTTGTCCTGTCTCACACTTGAAGGCACCGATAAACCCAAAAATTTGCATGCAGTTATTCCTCAGTTTTAGGCTCAGAGTGACCTCCTCACCCTTAAATAACCCTAAAAAAGCATTTTGCATACCTCTGGTTTGGTGGTGACTCAGTTCTCAAATGAGTGGGCTGTCATTTGTTTTGCTGACAGATAAATCCTGCCTGTAGTGAGCAGCTCAGCCTTGGTGGCACTGGGAACGTGTAGGTGGCTGCCTGGGCACAAAGTGACTTCTTGTGCGGGGGCAGAGCTTAATGTTGTTTTTCTTTCCTTTTTTTCACTGCTCACTTGGAACCAAGACGACGATGGTAAGCTGAAAATTCATCTTTTATGGCTTTGTTACTCATTTCATACCTGCTAATCCAGAGAGGACAAGATTCACACTGAGAGTGGCTGCAAAAAACACAGAGCTACAGCTCATTACTTGTGTAATTTACTTGTGTACTTTAATTCCTCTTAAGGCACAGGGCGGTGGCTTCCCTGACAGCGCTTTTCAATGCACTTTAATCGCTGGGCAAAAGAGAACTGATGCTTCTGAATTCTCATTAACAAACACAGCAGCTTTTCTTAGAAATAAAATATCTGTAAATAATTTTATATCAATACATTTCTGCTATAAATAAATTTCTGTTATAAATAAATTTCTGCTTATATAACTGATTTTCAGATTCTGGAAATCTGCTTCAAGCAGAGGTGTAAAAGATGCTGAGTTTGATGTCATTCTCAGAACTCCTTTCACGTGACATCCACAATGCCAGGATTACCTGTCAGGATGTGAGGAGACAACAGCTGAAATGTGCAGAATTTTGGTTGATTCTTCCTGCAGAGCTGGAGTGTGATGCCCTGTGCAAGGAAAAGACCCTGCACCGGGTGCTGAGGAACGTGAACAGCCAGCTGCTGGTGGTGCGCCCCGACCTCAACGTGGCGGCCTTTGAGGATGTGACAGACCAGGAGATGCAATCTGGTAATTTCCAAACCAGCACAAACCATCCCCACGGCTCTGCTGCTTCATCCTGGAGGTGGTTTTGTTCTTTGTGATCATCCACGCAGCGATGGGACTGAGTGTAACGACTTAAAGCTTCATTTGCAAGAAGAAAATGAAGCTGAGAGTGAAATTTTGTGTCTTGGGCATTGGTGATGGATAAGGTTTCTGGGTTAAACCAAAGCCTGCAGGATGTCACATGCAGAAAAAGGGCTGTTAAGATTCTTGCTTGGCTCTGATCACAAAATTCTTATTTTCCCCTTTTTTTATGCTGGATTACAAAAAATCATTTTAAAATTGAAAAAATGTATTGGCACTAAAAGGTCTTACTTTCTCCTAATAATACTAGCTATAAACTTACAGTTTTGGTTTTGACTCCTTGGGATACTTCAGCAATTTATTTACAACTCTATTTATTGCCCATATTTATTTCTGGATCACGTGTACCCAGCCATGCTCTGATTTACAGCAGCCAGTTCCACATGCCAGTCTCAGTTCCTGCATGCACATGAAAGGGTCTGACCCTGCCTGGTGACCTTGGTGCACCCTGGTTACTGCACAAAGCACAACCAGAAGCCATAAAAATTCAAGTCCTGGCTTTTCTGTCAGGAAGAACACCCTGGTGAGCCAGCCAGGGGAATGGCAAAGCATCACTGGCTGCGGCTGCTGCAGCTCCCTTGGGGCAGGTTATCAGCAATAACCCATCTCCTTCCAGGCAAGGGGATGCATTTCAGCATTCACTGCTACAAAACCACCACGCCCTCGGCCGGGCTGCCCGTGGCCTTCAGCGTCCAAGTGGAAAACAAGAGTTACTACATGTGCTGTGAGAGGGAATGCGGGAAAATGATCGTCAGGTTCAAGGTAAGGACCTGCTGCCCTCTCCTCATCTGCACAAACCCAACAGGCACAATTAACAACTCAGAGCTGCAATGAAACTGCCCAGGGCTCCTGCTGGGATTAACCTGCTCCCTTTTTCCTTCCTCAGGAAGGAGAAGTTCCCAAAGAAATTCCTGGTGAAAGCAACATCATCTTTTTCAAGAAGACATTTACATCTTGCTGCTCCCAAGCATTTAAGTTTGAATACTCCATGGAGCAAGGAATGTTCTTGGCCTTTGAGGAAGAAGGCTACTTGAGAAAATTAATCCTTAAGAAACTGTCAGAAGATGAAGTGGATGAAACCATGAAGATAAGTTTATGTAAGTTCAGTCAGAATGAAAATCACAACCTATGATGGGACACCTCAACAGTTTTAAAATACAGTTTGTTTTTTTTATATAAAATAAACTTTTGTCTTTCTTTATCCTAAACAAGTCAGTTTTATGTTTTAACTGCTGTCAGTACTCATTAAAAAAATAAATGCAAGTTTTTGGCAAAAGGCCAAGCATGTTTTCCAGTCAGACAGAAGAGAACTACACACTGAAGAAACAAGAATGTCCATAATGTCAATACAGTCCTGGAAAATTTGATCCCTAAAATCTTTCATGCCTAAATTCCTAAAATCTTTTATGTCAACCCAACAGCTTTTGCATTAGGTTTGGACTTCTACATTGCCAAACCTCCCAGATAATGAATTTCTCACCCAGGCAGCCTAAACACCACATCCAGCTGCATCCTGTGTGAGGAAATCTCAGACATTTTCCATGAGAGACCCTCAGCTCGCCCACAGGGACTTCCCCATGACTCACCATCTGCCTGCTCCTCCTCCTGGCACTCACACGTGCTGGCATTTAAACCAGCCCACAGCTCCATTCTGGCCACAACACCATCAAAAAACTGGCCAGCTACCTGCTTTTGCTAAGAAATAAAATTTCCAATCCACATGAAAAAGAAAAAAACCCTCCAAGTCTTGCAGCATCCAAACAGTGACTTGGTTGTTCTGTTCATTGCAGAGTCACTGATGGTAACACAAATTCTCTTCCTCTCACTATTAACAGTGCCACAAAAGTGCCATGAGAGTGTGGAGAGAGTTCTCCACTCCTTGGCAATGTGAAAGTCAGACAGGATGCAGCAAAAGTTAAAAACCACAATCTCAGTTCCTCCCTAAAAATCCCTTGAAGAACAGAACATTTCCTCAGCCTCCTCTTCATTGTCTTTTCTGTCACGCAGCACAACAGAGTATTTAGAAAATAAACCTCAAAAAAGAACAAATAAAACCTTGAAAGTCAAATATTCCTAAAGTCAATCTGCAGAAGTATTTTTATTCTTGCCGTGTTTTCTAAGGGACATTAATTATCCTTGTGTTAAGTCAAGTCTAAGTCATCTCTAAGTATTAATCCATACAAATATTCTTCATTTTATGAAGTAAGGCAGAGCAGACCTATCAACAGAGAAAACATTTTAGGCAACCCAAAGCAGTAAAAATGGTTCAGAAGCACACACAAAATTTCTGTAAATTCTTTATTGCATGGAATCTGAAAAAAAAGTATTCCCTTTTCTACATCAGCTCCCAGGGTCCAAAGAGTTACAGGGTCTGCCTTACACACTGATGTCAGAAGAAACAGTTCAGTTTTCCACAAGGCAATTTGTTTTACAGAACAGGAAACCAACCAACAGTTAGAAAAACACTCATTAAAACTGCTATTACAAGGAGAGCTCCCTTTAGCTATGCAAACCTGCCACTGATGCAATTCACTCATCCATCCATCCCAATTTACAGCGCAGCTGGAATCCACTCATCTCAATGGACATCTCCCAGTTCAATCTGTATTTAAACCTGTTTTTTCTCTATATATCCTAAACTAGCCGTGAGCCCCCTGCAGGCTCCCGGGGGACCCTTGGCTGCTCCTGTGAGGTGCAGGATGTTGCTCACAAGCTGATGAAGCAGAGGCAGCAGAGGACAATGGTGTGTGCCGGGGCTGGGGCTCCTCAGAGGCTCCAGAGCATGGCCACAGCCTTGCAGATGCCCACGTCGTGGTAGTTGAAGTGGCAGAGGCCAGCGAAGGTCAGGGCAGACAGGACGTACAGCCCCGTGTTGGCCACTTTAATGGGGACATCTCCGTGCACATAATCAGTAATTACCTGGCCCAGGCCCCTAAACGAGAGAGAAAAGCTCGAATCAGCAAAGGTCACTCACTGAAATCCATCCTCTCCGTGCCCCCCGTTCTGCCAGCTGGGCTTTTTTCCCCCTGCTGCCATCAGCCTTTCCTGCAGTTCCCACACAGAAAGGGGAAAAACCTATTTCAAAAACAAGCCAAAACGTTCCAGATCCTATTGAAAATACACAGGTTGGCTCAGAGTTTTCCTGAGGAAAACAAGTGCTGACCACAGCTCTCCAAACAGAATCCTTGGATCTGCCTTCTTATCTGACTTCCAAGGACTGGAAAAGAGGAAAAGCAAGGAAATATCTGGGACCAGCCATGGTCACAAAGACACAGAACACTCCTGGGTACTCATTTAGATTAGAAGAGTGGCAGCCAAAGAAATTAGTATATTTTTAGTTTTTTCTACATCTGGAAGTGAACTCCCGTCCAGATTTGAACTATCCAGCAACATGAGACACGGGATGCTTGTTTTGGGAAAAAGCTCCCAGTCAGAGCAAGGAAAGTGCAAGAATCCCTGGCACAAATTCCTCAGGGCAAAACTGAGCTTTAAGAAAACCTGGCACCCTCAAAGTACCACAAAAATCTGCTTTATCCTTGTGGCAAGGAACTCGCAAAGCAGGATCACCTCAGGAAGGTGGGTGCTGCCAGCCTGGCCAACCACACAGCTGGATCCCCTCCTAACTCCTGTCCCTGCTCTCATCAAGGATCACACTGAGCAAACATCCATCCAGGAATTAAGGAAACAATCATCCAGGTCTCCTTAGTGGAATATTTGCAGTGAGCTCTTTATTACGCAGAACCACTGAGATGGATGAGATGGTGATGAGACCATCTCCTCACCACTGAGATGTACAAAGCCACTGCATGGAGCTTTAGAGGCAGAATATTTTTATATTATTTTTATACAGATCTTTCTATTCCCTCTGTTCACACAACACTGGTTCTTCCACGGGTTAAAAACATCCAGGATTCTACACCTCCAGGGGCAAGGAAATGCTCTTAAGGTTAAGATTTTATGGATTCTTTTTCTGACTGAGAGGACAGTGAGAGAAAGGAAGACCAAAGTACAACCACTCCTGCCAACGAACGCAGAAACCAAGGACTTTTTCCTTGCTTTCCACTAGCCCAGGATGAGGTTTGGAGGCACCAAAGCTCCTTGGCTGTGAGCTGAGCCCTGCTGTGCTTACCAGTGGCCGTGCAGGGTGAGGGCAGCAGCCAGGGAATAGTCCACAGCGGGTCCAGGGCACAGGTAGGCTGCGGGGAGCAGCCCCAGCAGCAGCACACTGACCGCTCGCTCCCCTGTCCAGTGCAGAGACGCAGCCTTGGAACCGCCTGCAGGGAGAGACATCCTCAGGGAAAAGCCCCTCTGCCAAGGGCTCTGCAGCCCCTGCACGGCTGCCTTGGATGGCTGTCACATCTGGAGAGTTTGCAAACCACAACTCTGCTCGAGCAACGCTTGGCAACACAACGGGAGCATCAGCCCAGGCTGGGATCATCCAGAACCGACTCTGTGAAATTATCAACGCAACACCCCCAAAGTGCTCAGCTAACACACAAATATAATCCACCGAAACCAAAATGCAAATGGTTTCCTTCATTTTGGCACAGAGAAAAGAAATTTAGAAAGTGACAACACAAGGAAAGCAAAGGATCTGAAGTTTGGACTTGGGCAAAGGGCAAACTGAAGCGTTATTAGCTGGTACCAGAGCTGCTGAAGGGGAGGGTACACATGTCGGTGAGGGGAGACTCAGACACTCAATATGAGTGATAAGCAAATTCTGTTTATTGAAGAGAGCATCAGACACTTATACAGCAAGTAATAGGCTTATGAATATTCTGTAAGCTAAGCAATCTATTGGTTAAACTATACCATCAACTCTTCCTCATTCCTTAGGGGTTACATGTCTCTTTTCTCATGCCTCTTTCACTGTTTGTTATCCTACTACAGCTAGGCCCAAGGACAGTGTTATCTTGCAGGTGCCGGACTTGGAATTAGCCATGGTTTTGTACTTTTCCATTTTCTAGCAGCTAAATTCCCAACATACACACACTCCTCACAGCCTGAGGCACCACAACTGCACCATTATTTATCACAAATAACATCTCTGCACAGTTACTGCCCTACCTAACAACGCTCAGCATTTCACAGCTTTTCCCTTAAACCAACGGGAATTTAGGATTGTTTTTAACTTTGCTGGTAACACCCCTAACTGTGCATCACCCAACAGGACACCAAGAAAACCACTGCAGCATGTGTAAATATCTTCTGTTCTTTGTTACAGCTGCCACTTAAAATCTCCTAGAGTGGCCCAAAAAAATTATAGACTCAGCCTGGTTTGGGGATGGGAGGGACCTTAAAGCTCATCTTGTTTTTAAGTCTCTGTATGGCCATCAGGTACTACCTCTGTCACCTCTGTTCCTGCACTGCTGTTGGTGCCTTGAAGGACCCAAAGGAACCAAAATCTGGTCCTTTACAGCCCATTCTTGGCAGAATCACAGAATTTTGAGAAGCTGGAATAGACCTGAAGGATCACCGAACCCCAACGCCTGCCATGGGCAGGATGCCTTGAGCTGGACCCGGGTGCTCGGGTACAGCACGGATGGGGGAAAAGGGGTCCCGATCCCGGCAAAACGAGACCCCCGCAACCAGCACGGACAGACAGACATAGAGACACACAGACAGACACACAGACAGGGCCGTACCGTGTCCCTGGCGGGGCGG